CTTTAAAGTTTGAAACCTTTCTTATGATTGGTCAATATCTAATGATAGAGAAAATATGGACCAATCAAAAAATGTTTCAGGAATTTTGAGAAAAAAAGTTGACCAATCAAATTGTCTCAGTATCTATTGGGTATTTCCTTTCTCTGCTTCACAAAATGGACCAAAGGCTTTGTCTAGACGCAGTTTAAGCAATATCTATACTATACAGTATATAAATATGGGTCATTTATACGTGTATTTTCTACCATTATATCTTGCCACCATTGCAAAGCTTTAATATTTGTGTTTCTCTTTTTATAATATATTTTCTTACTGACACATACTTTTATCTACTGGGTGTTTGCTGCAAGAAATCAACATATTTTTATTAACCTTTACAATCAAAATGCTGATGAAGTGTAGCGATGATGATATTAAACCAGACCTTGTGTCAGGATGATGATATTAACCTGACAGGTCGGCAGACGGTATGCTCTACTTTCCTCAGTGCTGGATAGTACCATTAAAACAAAATCGATAAAAAAGGGACATAACTTTAGCAAAAACTAATTTTACAGTTATCCACCCTTTAGAAATGGAATCAAATTTTGACAATGGAACTAAAAATATATACAAAGTGAAGTGAAAAGTTTTGATTATTTCTGAGAAAGGTCAAAAAGGCTCAAAACAACCTTGACGCAAAAATGCTAATGAGAGAGTCATATGCTTATGAGAGGGTCATGACATTATTAACCCAACTTTGTCCCTTTAAAAAGATGTTCATGTACTAAAAATGAATTGAATTGACCTGACACAGCCTTAAATAAACTAGCTTTTACCAAGCAGTGACTGAATTTAAGATTTTGAATTAACTAGCACGAATTCCAGTTTTGAATTAATTCTACTATATATTTAACTAAATTTTCATAAAAATTACACTAGCCACCAGGCCTGTGTGATTTTCCATGACTGAATAAGCAAAATAATGCTATTTTGGGTTGTAAAATGATTAAATTAGAGAAAAATACATGGGGAGGGGGGCACTACAAAATAATCAAGTGCTCTGATTTGAATAAGCAAAGATAGTGACAGTGCCTGAAAAATAGAGGATTATACAATCAAAGGGAGACAACTAGCATATCATGGGTTCACCGCAAAACTGTAGTAACTTGTATGGAAAAAGAAGGACATACAACAGTTTTGCGATCAACTCTTTTATAATACATGTATATTCATGACAGGTTGTAATAATAATTAGTGTTACATAATTAACATGCATCCAAGACATTTTAGTAGCTTCTTTCATCACCTTAGCACCTTAGTGCAGTAACAGGTTAACTCCCATTAATTTTAGAAGGACTTAACCCATTACTGCACTAAGTTGATGATATGTCCCTGATAGTTAAATTGAATAATAATATTTTAACCCGATCTTCATTACTTTATCAACTATTGATAATCGGTCTTACTAATTTATGGCAAGTTTTCTTACAGGTTTGTGGAGTCTATGGTATTAGTCCTGCAAATAAACTATGCAATGAATCATCACCTTCAACATAAATATACATGAAACTGACCCCTTTTGTAAATGTATTTTTAAGAAGTTAATTTTGTTTGTTTGGTATGTACATGCAAATGATAATTAAGGAAAAATAATCAGAAATTAATTAACTAGAAATGTATCCATAGGACACCGGTGCCCCCACCCCACCCCCCACTCCACCGATTTGTCAATCTTATGTCTCTAGGTCAATTTCTTTTTTGGCTACATGTGCCGAAGTTGAAAACTAAAAATCTTTTATTAAGTAAAGGGAAAATACTACAAATACTGAATAAATCCACAAAAAAACCAAGGTGCATAAGTACACATGCTGGCCAACATTCTTGTAAACTTTCAGGCCTACAGGTCAAATACTTTTTGAGTTACGTGCAACACAAGTTGAAAATTGGAAATTTTTACTAATTCAAGGGCAATAACTCTAAAAATACTAAATATATCCACATAAAAATACCCAGGTGCACAACTTCACATGCTGATCAACATTCCTGTAAGGTTTCATGACTCTAGGTCAATTACTTTTTGAGCTACGTGCGACACAAAAAGAGAACGGACGGACGGACAAGGGTAAATCTAAATGACCCCCCCCCTCCCTCCTATAGTGGGGGCACAAAAAGTTGTTAAGTATCAGCTATATTGATTAAACAGAACTGTAAATGGAAATTGTGACAAGTTACTGACTATTCATCTCAAGGAAATACTCTCTTTTGTCATTAAATACCGGTAGTTTTCAATTTCTATCAATTATTCATAATGGCTATTCTACTAATGTAATGAATTAACTGTAGCACTTTTATTTGTAGAGTGGTTCTGTTTCTTTTTACCCAAATACTTTTAAATTTACAAAAATGGACTTGTCCATTTTAGAATTTAATTCTTAAACATATATTGATATTCAAAATTGTGTTGGTTTTTGATCCAGTAAATTTAATAAATTATAACAAATAATTATAAATTATATCAGATACTATAATTTATATTTGACTTCCCCTATGCCTTAATTAAATATTGTCCACCAAGCGTAACCCTTACCCTGTTAAATTTACAATGGTTGAGCCCTGCTTTCAATTTGGAACAGCCCATTAGCTGTGATAGGGATTTAAGTTTCATCAAATATTTCTAATTCAGTAGCCAAAATATTAAAAAGATATAGCAGGTTTTATCAATGAGGATGTTGAAATTCAAATGCTGTTCTTTGCTTTTAGCATTGCAAATTAATTTCCTATTTTTAATGAAGATTTTAGAGCGAACCAAGTTATTTTTAACAAACCAATTCTTCACCATCGTCATCCCTTTGGAAGAATAATTAATCAAGAAATGTTACTAAAGTTAGTTTGTAATTGTTTTATTTTCATTTAAACATACCTTATAATTCCAGAGCAGAATTATATTTAAGTTGCAAATAATGAATGGAAGGGCCCCTGAGATCTACCTTCACCTGAGTTAATCTGGAAAGTCGCCATGACATTTACAGTGATGGTGCAACAAAAGAAAACAAATATATATTATGAAACATTTTTCAAGCTATACAAATGGAAAAAACGCTGCTGCTCACCCCTGTGAGCATCATTTCTTAAATACAACAAGCCGATTTTGAAAGACTTAGTAAAGTGTTTATTCATTAATAAATAAATATTTTAAATCTTGACAATATAGAAATAAAGTGGAATGTAAAATAAAAGATACTAAAAATAAAATATAAACATATGGACGGCATGAATTACTTGTTACTCCAATATGATATGTAATTTTCATGTAATTTTTACATCATCTTGGATTTCGCTTGTTTTGATTTTGAATTTACCTTATCTATCATTGCTTATTTTCAAATAGTCAATCAATAAATCTTATCAATTAATATAAAAGAATAACCATATTCTTACACAAAGGGATATTATGCCCATCTTGAACAGTGATAAATTAATGTTATCATCAGTAAATAAATTGAATTTCAAAAAGATTTCTCGCTGTACTCAGTGATGAACTAATGACAGTTGTATATCACACTCAATTTTATTTTAAAAAACTAGAAAGATTTGTTGTTGACATTTATGCTGTATGATAAAAGGCCAGATTTTTACATATAAAACTTCAGATCATGTGTAAGCACATAAGAATATTTGAGCTGTGTCATGACAAAACCAACATAATGGGTTTGCGACCAGCATGGATTCAGACCAGCCTGCACATCCGCGCAGTCTGAACAGGATCCATACTGTTCGCTTACCAACTCTAATACAAGTGGAGAAACTGACAGCGAACAGCATGGATCCTGATCAGACTGCGCAGATGCGCAGGCTGGTCAGGATCCATGCTGGTCGCAAATGCACTATGTTGGTTTTGTCGTGACGTGGCTCATTTATGTAAATGATTTTATTCTTTCTCTCCTTTTGTTTTGTTTTAATTTACAAAATTCCTTATAATTGTGGAGCAGAATTTTATTTAAAGTTAGGATATCTTCATTAAAGAACACGAAATTTGTTTTTTCAAACAGTCCTGCATTTAAGAGCACAATGATGTGACACAGTGAGGTCACAGATTACTTGATATTTCATCACAGCTATCACAGCTGTATTACTCGGTGTTGCCCTCTTCAGGGTTCAGGTATTTATGGTTGTATTACTCGGTGTCGCCCTCTTCAGGGTTCAGGTATTTATGGCTGTATTACTCGGTGTTGCCCTCTTCAGGGTTCAGGTATTTATCAGTGTATTACTCGGTGTTGCCCTCTTCAGGGTTCAGGTATTTATCAGTGTATTACTCGGTGTTGCCCTCTTCAGGGTTCAGGTATTTAAGGGTGTATTACTCGGTGTTGCCCTCTTCAGGGTTCAGGTATTTAAGGGTGTATTACTCGGTGTTGCCCTCTTCAGGGTTCAGGTATTTATCAGTGTATTACTCGGTGTTGCCCTCTTCAGGGTTCAGGTATTTAAGGGTGTATTACTCGGTGTTGCCCTCTTCAGGGTTCAGGTATTTATCGGTGTATTACTCAGTGTTGCCCTCTTCAGGGTTCAGGTATTTGTGGGTGTCGGAAACTTTCTGGAGATTCTGTTTGATCACTTTCTCTAAGCACATCGGGCAATTCTCCTCTGTTTCCATCAACCTGAATCAATAATACTTCAAATTTTGGGTTTTTGTCCTTTTTTCCTCCCAATTTTAAAGTTTTATTTTTCTACAAACATACTGTATATTGCAATTTTTTGTAATATTTCATTTTCCATTATGACATACATACTTTCTAAATAAGTTTGACAAGGAAAAATGTTAATTTACATCTTACAAAATGTACTTAACTTATGTTATGAGAAATTGGTATTTGTTTGAACTCGAAATCTATAAATCCAGTCTTTAACACAATGTCTGTGTTTGACCATTTGCTTTATTAAAAAAAATAAGAAAAAAACAGGGATCGAAGCAGAAGTTACATTTAAACACAAGAATATAATGATTAACATTTGTTACTTTTTACTATGATCACTACCTTACCTAATAATTTCTGAGAATATAGCTGGGAAGTCGCAGCTTGGGCAGGCTGACATGTCCTCATTGACGAGATGTCGACCTGTGATGATGCAGTACGGTATATTGCCCTTACATTCCGGACACAGAAGCTCGGTCTCGGCTAACTGTAAGCCACAGTACGGGCATGGGGTACATGGCTCCTCTTCTTCTGTTTTGTCCGGCCTTTTCACGATCGATTCAATCTTTTCCTTGAGTTTTAGATCTATCTGATTTCTGCAATAATAATATAACAGATGCTATTAAATAACTTTTCTTGTTTGGGATTTCAGTCATACAGGCATTGGTGATGTACAACTGTTGTGTACCTATATTACTATAGATAGATTTGTATTCAACTGTGAATTTATACGACACACAACCTGGGGCATCAGATGTTACAAGTAGGAACCCTCAACAGTGAAGATAATTAACTTTAAGTCCGAACTTTATGTAATGCAATCCAAACATGACCAATATTTCCCCAAGTATATACGAAATACTGATTTTGTATCATCCATATCAAATGGAATCCACACAATTTATATTATCACATAAAACGCGGCGCAGGAATGTAATAAAGCCATTTAATAAAAACGATATTACACTAGTGTAATAACACTTTGACGTGACATCATTTGTGCCATATATAAACATAGCGTTAAAGTGCGCTAATGTTAGCGTTACACTATAGGCGCGTCATTGAAAAATTACTCATTTTAACTGTTTACCGTTCTTATTTTATATATGTGATAAATAGAATATTATATTCATGTAGATTCAATACTAAATTTATTGAACTCGTTGAATAAAACAATATTATGCTCGCCAGAGGCTTGCATAATATGATTTTATTCAACTTGTTCAATAAATTTAGTATTAAACTACACTCATTCAATATCCTCTATGTCTCAAATCTATAAAATGTGTAAAGAAAAGACACAGAATGAATTGCAACACTGCCAAAAATAATTGGAAACATACTGCTGTGAAACAAAACATTTAGATCAAGAATTTCCTAAATACACTAGTCCTTGAATTTGGAACTGTCAATGGATATCAAGAAATCCCGTGCAGTCTGATCAGGATCCATGCTGTTTGCTATCAGTTTCTCTACTTTTTTAGGGTCTGTAAGCGAACAGCATGGATCCTGATCAGACTGCGCGGATGCGCAGACTAGTCTGGATCCATGCTGGTCGCAAACCCACTATGTTGGTTTTGTCGTGACACGGCTCATATGAGGGCTGACCTGATTCAATACTTCTAGCAGTGCCCTCTCAATGTATATAGTGAATATTACTTCGTCCTCACTTTGTCTAAAGTACTGGTGTTCACAGCATGTGTTAATCATATGTAGAATTCTGTAACATACAGTGACAACATGTTTGAGTTTAAACTCTTTCATTGGAAGAATAACAATGTTGTTAATGGCCAATCATGGGTATACCTGTACTCTGGTCTCATTAACATAGCAGCGTAATTGAATGAGGAATTCTTCAAACCTGCTCTATGGCACTCTATCACAGCGGATGTTAGAATAGGCACAATATCTGGAAACAATAGATAGATTTATTGTAAACATTAAGTACACCATTTACGCCCTGATTGCATGCAGCAGATACAAAATGTCTCCGAATGAAATTGTAGCCTTGCTATTTATGCGTCTACTTAGCAACTAAAGGTTCAAACCTAACTGGATTCAGGTCCTTGATCACTCAGATGACATAAGTACTGATAAGTTTCAAGGAGAAGACTGTTACTGTAGTCTGATAATTCACCTGTTTCACGATCAATAATGAATGAATTCACTGAAATATCTACCTAGATAAAAGGTTTTTATGCCAATTTTAACATATTTTTTTATCAAATCTTGATGGTCGGTTCACCAAACTAGTTTTCCTGGATAACCTGTCAGTAATTATCAATTTTTCTGCAAATGACACATTACTAATCTCAAATGATTTCTGAAGCAGTGGTGAGAGGCAAATGACCTATAGTCTTATGTCAAAGATCAACTTTCGAGGAGAAATTTTCCTTCACTCGAGGTTTGAACCAGCAACCCTTGAATTATAAGTCTGATAAACAATAGGCTTAAATGAGCCGTGTCACAACAAAGCCAACATAATGGGTTTGCGACCAACATAGATCCAGACCAGCCTGCGCATCCGCCCAGTCTGATCAGGATCCATGCTGTTCGCTATCAGTTTCTCTACTTGTTATAGGGTTTGTCAGCGAACAGCATGGATCCTGTTCAGACTGCGCAGATGCGCAGGCTGGTCTGGATCCATGCTGGTCGCAAACCCATTATGTTGGTTTTGTCATGGCGCGGCTCAAATGATATTTCAACAACTATAGGATCATCATTGTGACCTTGGGAAGAATACTAAAATGGTACAGCAGAACTTATGTAAAGAAAAATTGACTGAGGTTATAAACTGTAACTTACGACATGATGGAAATTTACTGATGTTATTTGCCACTCTGATTAACATCCTAGCTCCCTTTAAATGGTCATCTCTTTTAACATGAATCTGAAATGATAAATTACATGTTGAAAAACAGGCAAAACTAGCACATATTACCAACCAATAAAAATGTAAATACAATAAAGGGAGGAAACCCAGAATGTTATTCTAAAAGTCAGTTGATGGTTACAGGCAGAAATTGTAACCCAGATTATAAAACTTTTTCTGAATTCAGTCTAAAATCTCAAAATTTTCATTGGTCAGTGTACATTCTATGCCAGTGTCTGGCCAATAAAATGCCTGACACTGGAGTTTGAGCCTTGAAAATATCTTTATAATTTTGGACAAGGCCTGTTTTAACATGATTTCATAATGATAACTAACGCTTGTCTGCTAAAGTGTGTTTCTGCATTGTGCATGAGTACTTAAATGTTTCACAAGCAAATGTCATCTACACATCTAATAAGTATTTCAAAATGATGAAAGAAAGCAAATTATATAACATTTTGAACAATGATTTTAGTTTAAAAAAAATTTGAGTGTTCGAAACCTAAAATATTATATACATATAGATCTACACTCAAAATAGTACATGTATTTTAGAAACTTTGCAATCTACATATACATATTCAGACTCTAAAAATTTGAAGGTCTTCAGGTGTACAAAAAATATTAAGTTTACATTAAATGCTTTTAAAGCATCAAAAAGCACTTGATTCTGTCGATTTTTTCCATATTTCACATTAAAGAAGTCTGCCAATAAATGAAGATAGAACTGCTTAAAATGTTAACTTAATCATGCGATTTTCAAAAACAAGAGGGCCATGATGGTCCTGGATCGCTCCCCTGACCCATCAACGGCATCCAAGCAATGTCTTAGACAAGCATCCTGGCCAAGTTTGATGAAAATTGAGTCAAAAATGTGACCTCTAGTGTGTTAAAAAGGTTTTCCATATTTGGGCAATGTGACCTAATTTTTGACTGGAGACGACCCTGATCAAAACTGAGGCCACTGCAGTGTTATAAAGATTTTTCTATTTTTAGCTTCTGTGACCTAGTTTTTGACCGGAGATGACCCATCTTCGAACTTGATCTGTATTTCATTGAGACAAACATTCTGACAAAGTTTGACAATGATCCAATCAAAACCTTCCTGACAAATTTCCAGAATATTTGGATCAAAACTGCAGCCATTAGAGTGTTAACAAGCTTTTTCTATTTTTAGCTCCTGTGACCTAGTTTTTAACTGGAGATGACCCATCATCGAACTTGACCTAAAAATCATCAAAACAACCTTCCTGTCAAATTTCCAGAATATTTGTATCAAAACTGCAGCCACTAGAGTGTTAACAAGCTTTATCTAGTTTTTGACCGGAGATGACCCATCTTCGAACTTGATCTGTATTTCATTGAGACAAACATTCTGACAAAATTTGACAATGATCCAATCAAAACTGTGACTGCTAGACTGTTAACAACCCAATTGTTGACGACAAACGACGGACGACGGACATAGCCCCATCACTATACCTCACCTCGTGGTCAGGTGAGGTAAAAAAAAAACAACAAAAAACAAAACATGTATAAGTGTAATACCATTATATGGGTAAGCCATCCTGAAAATGAACTAACGTTAACAGTTTGAAAGGTAAGAAATATTACCTTAACAAGTATGTAGCTATGAAGGATCATGAGATTATTTGCCATCTCTGTGGGTATCTGAATCTTCTGCTGCTTCAACTCCTGGGACATACTGAACAACACATCATGGGCATTCCTGTAGTTACCTGAGATAATAAACACAACCTCTTTATTAACCTATACCCTGCTTTAATTTGTTTAACACCATATGTAAACCTTCAGCATTAGCATGCCCTCATTTGAATTTGTCAGTTTATTAAATACATTTATTACATGCTTTTCGATGGTTTATAGAAATATATCAGTGAATTAAAACTAATAATGTCACTGTTCCAAACAGTGAAATTATCAATTTGATAATTTCACTGTTTTGAATTTAAGCCCCTTAAGTTGTTTCAGTGAAATACCAGCGTACACAGAACTGGAAACCAACTTAGTAACGTGACGTCGCAAATGACGTCACGTTGTATAATTATTTGGCGCGCTTTTCATTTAGTATTAGGTAAAAATGTCTTTTTTATAATTTGTTTGCATATAATAAAAAGAAAATTTGTTAAGTTTAGTGTAAGATCGAAATATATTTCACCTCATGAACACCAAAAGTTCACATTTCACTCGTGGCTGCGCCACTTGTGTAATATACCTTTTGGTGCTCACTCGGTGAAATATATTCCGATCTTACACTGAACTAAACAAATATCCTCTATGTATTGAAATTCCAAAACCATTCACTATTTAGCTCTTTTTTAGCATTTATGTTGATACTCTTAATCAAGAAAACACCGTAACATAGTTTAAACTTGCTTTTCTTTGGTCAAGATATTATTCTATTGCATTGTTCCTTACTATATCCTTTAAACCATAATGTTTATTTCACAGATTTTACGTACCAGCGCTTTGTTCCTCTTGGGCAATGATAATGGCTGTTCTACCAGCCTCCCTCCACTGTTTCAAGGCCATGTATAATCTAAACAGGTACTTGGCATCCTGCCAATATTAAATATCAATTTTTAGAATTGAGGATAACATAAAACAACAGATAAAATGTCTTATGAGACTTTCAAGTTACATGTAAAGCAGAGATCTTTTCAAGGGGCTAGCAATATTAACAAACAAAACACTTTCTTCATGCCATTTTGAAAAGTCCTTAAATATTTAAATAAGAAGGGAACTTGTCTGTTCGAAAGCATATAATCAACTTGAAATGTGTCCATTGGACTTGGATGCCTTTATGTTTAACTGTTGTCAATCCATGGCCTGAACAGAGAAACAGCAGGATAGATCAACATGGGAAAATGTGTATCAGCCCACATATAAAAATATGTTTTCCTATACAAATTTTTATTAAAATGTAGAAGATATTCATGGTTGCTCCTATTCTGGAAGGTCAATAAATCTATCTTATTTCAGTGTTATACTTATATCTTACTACAAAATAAGTTAAAACACTAAACAGGAAATAATAATAATAATAAAAATAAACAACTGCGAATCACCCCTAAATCCTAAGTTACTATGTTAATTAGAATTTAGGGGCGATTCAAAAAGTTCCTTTTTTTAGTTCTATCAATAAAGCCATGGTTGGTATTGGAGTCTGTGAACTAAATGTTTCTTGGGCAGATTTTCTGACATTTAAATTCCATGACATTTCCAAGATCAATTTGGAAAATTTGACTATATTTCCATGATAAACTAATCTTCCATTATAATTCCATGATAAAGTGATTTTTCTACAACATTTCCAGACCTATACGAAACCTGTTAAGGACTGACTGACCTTTGGAACACCATCCGTATCTCCCGTCAGGAAGTTGACGAGCTTGTGGGTCAGCTGATCATCATTAGCACGTGCCACTGTCTCTATAGCAAGCTCGATAGCCTCACTGTTCTCACCATCACAACGTAAGAAATGTTTCATTGCCTGAAAAAATATACATGAGCCGCGTCATGACAAAACCAACATAATGGGTTTGCGACCAGCATGGATCCAGACCAGCCTGCGCATCTGTGCAGTCTGATCAGGATCCATGCTGTTCGCTATCAGTTTCTCTACTTGCAATAGGGTTTGCAAGCGACAGCATGGATCCTGATCAGACTGCGCGGATGCGCAGGCTGGTCTGGATCCATGCTGGTCGCAAACCCATTATGTTGGTTTTGTCGTGACACGGCTCACATTATACTTAAATCATAGGATATATGATGTTCGTAGGGTTGCATGATACGTAAACTATTCAAATTTCAAAAATTGTATAATCACATCGTTTCCATATTCTTATGGACAGATCTGCAGAGTTACGGAAAATGTCTCTCTCTAACACATGAATTTTATATGAAAGCAGCAACATTATATTCATTTGATGTTTCTATAATTAGCAAAATTAAAGAATAACTTTTGAAAATAATCCCTTTAGAACAATCAACCTTTCCAAAATTATCTCCCTATAAAAACTCCCTTGATAAAATAACCCCCATCGTTCCCCTTTAATCAGATTCACTTATAAATAATCTCCCTTAAACAAAATTAGCCTTTTCAAAATTATCTCCCTTTACACAAGATTGACCTTTTCAAAAATACAGAAGATAAACCTACTCAAAGTAATCATCCCTTTGAAGAAAGTTGGAAATATTTTTACCATGTTAAACTGTCCACTCAAGAGGAAGAATTTCCCCGACAAGAAATGATTTGTTTCATTCTCAAAGAATAAGGCGATACTCTGGTTGTCTTCTGGTGTGGCATCTGGACCTACAAATATCATGAATAAAAAACATAGTATAAGTAAACCTTGGCTCAATATTTCATGTATGATTAAATTTTTAACTTTCAAAATATGCAAAATGCACTTGTAAAAGAATTGGTTAAAAAAACAACAACTGAATTCGACAGTCCCAAGACCAAATAAATGAGCCGTGTCACGACAAAACCAATATAGTGCATACGCGCAGTCTGATCAGGATCCATGCTGTTCGCTTACCAACTCTATTACATGTAGAGAAACTGATAGCGAACAGCATGGATATTGATCAGACTGCGCGGATGCGCAGGCTGGTCTGGATCCATGTTGGTCGCAAACCCATTATGTTGGTTTTGTCATGGCACGGCTCAGATATTATACTGAACTATATTGCCATACTTATAGAGTAAACTTAACAATTTATGTTTTCAATGTAGATTTTCTTTTATTTTATTTTCTTTGACATTAGAACCATACTTTGTTGAGCCTTGTAAATCAAAGTATGTATTATCAAAAGGGAAATAACCACTATAGACTGTAAAAGAGCATTTTCTATATTTACCTCCCTTTGATAAATTCTAAATATAGTTTATTGTTTTAAATGAGACCAAATAAGATTTTGTTTTAAGCGATAGAAAATAACAAAACATTCTTGACATAGATGTTTAACCAGGAAATGTGTCCATAGGACACGGGTGCCCCCACCGCGCCACTGTTCTGTCAATCTTATGACTCTAGGTCAAATATTTTTTGAAAACTAAAAAACGAATCTTTTACTAAATAAAGGGCAAGAACTTTACAAATACTAAATAAATCCACAAGCAAACCCCAAGGTCCATAAGTACACATGCTGACCAACATTCTTCTAAACTTTCAGGCCTACAAATGAACTTTTTGATCTATGCATGAACAAGTTGAAAATTGCAAATTTATACTACTGTAAGTCAAGGGCAATAAACTCTAACAAAACTGAAAAAAATCCACATGCAAAGTCCCAGGTGCATAGCTTCACAGTGATGTGAATCATTATTCCTGTAATTTAGTGATGGTGATCATTATTCCTGTAAAGTTGGTTGATTCTAACTCAAGCACTCATGGACAAATAACATCATAATGAAACGGTTTTTACTAAGTCAAGGGAAATAACTCTTCAAATACTGGATGATTTATCCACACATGCGACACAAGCGAAACCCCAAATGCAAAACTAAATATGCTGAGCAACCTTCCCGTAAGGTTTAATGACTATATGTCAAATACTTTTTGAGTTACATGCGACACAAGTTGAAAATTGCAAAAAATTTCTAAGTCAAGTGCAATAACTCTAAAAATACTAAATAAATCCAGACGAAATAACCCAGGTGCACAACTACACATGCTGATCAACATTCCTGTAAAGTTTCATGACTCTGAGTTACATGCGACACAAGTTGAAAATTGCAAAATAAGTCAAGGGCAATAACTCTAACAAGAGCTGTCGGTAGGACAGCAACGCTCGACTATTCTTAGTGCTTGATAGTAAAAAAAATGCTTGATACAGTTACCTCCTCCTGTTTACAGGTTGGGGTCATGATGGTGAACAAGTGTGCAAAGTTTCAAAGCCATTATGTCAATGGACTTTGAAAATATTTGAACTATTACAAAAACTTTAACGTAAATTCTAAGTCGAAAAAGGGGCATAATTCTGTCAAAATGCTTGATAGAGTTACCTCCTCCTGTCTACAGGTTGGGGTCATGATGGTGAACAAGTGTGCAAAGTTTCAAAGCCATATGTCAATGGACTTTGAAAATATTTGAACTATTACAAAAACTTTAACGTAAATTCTAAGTCGAAAAAGGGGCATAATTCTGTCAAAATGCTTGATAGAGTTACCTCCTCCTGTCTACAGGTTGGGGTCATGATGGTGAACAAGTGTGCAAAGTTTCAAAGCCATATGTCAATGGACTTTGAAAATATTTGAACTATTACAAAAACTTTAACATAAGTGGTTACGCCGACGCCGACGCCAACGCTCGGGTGACTGCAATAGCTCTACTTATTCTTATCGAATAGTCGAGCTAAAAATACTAAAATTATCCAAAGGAAAAATACCCAGGTGCACAACTACACATGCTGATCAACATTCCTGTAATGTTTCATGACTCTATGTAAAATACTTTTTGAGTTACATGCGACACAAGTTGAAAATTGCAAAATTCAAGGGCAATAACTCTGAAAATACTAAAAATATCCAAACGAAAATACCCAGGTGCACAACTACACTTGCTGATCAATATTCCTGTAAAGTTTCATGACTCCAGGTCAAATACTTTTTGAGTTATGTGCGACACAAAAGAGCATTACTGGTGCAGGGAAACCTATGTTGACCCTTCAAGTATTATATCGGGAACAAGCGGCCACCCGAGTCTAACCATCAACCTTCCGTAAACTATCTTGATAACAGCCAGACATGACAGAATCAAAAGCCCCTGATGGGATTCGAACCTGCAGCCCAGAACGGCTAATAAGAAAAGTAGCTCTAGATATAAGTTTTGTTTCAAATATTAATAAACAACTAGTCAAATTAACAATTAATGGGGACACACGAAAACGCTAAGTCAAAATCTACAAAATACTAGTGGTGACATTTCAACTACATGAATCGTGAATTTTTTAACATGAATTCACAAAGATAAAATCAGGATATCATAAAGTTGATATGTCCCTACAGGTCTTTCGTAGAAAACACTCTTCAATGCTACTTCTCTCTTCTTCAAGTGGAATGGTCTACAATGCCAGGGGTAAAAGTTGCAGTTTTAGAAAATCCTTAAATCCAAGCTGGGGGCCAGGGGGTCGCTACGGCCCCCGGTGGGTCCAGGGCAAAGCCCCTGCCAGGGGGTCCAGGGGATCAAGCTGTTGGATTTTAGCTGTTTAGCATATCAAAAATCTCATTTCCTTGTAAATTTATGGAACCATTTTTAATCAGATTTTTACAATTTTTTTTTAACAAAATCAGCTCAGGAAATATTAAAATTACATAAGTCTATCAGAAAATAGTAAAGGACATATACATTTACAAGTATCAACACAAATAACACAAGAGTAAAATACTACTATTTCCAAGTATATTGTGGTTGACAATTGCGCTTATCAGAAATGGAACATGCTAAAGTTTGAAAAGGGTAAACAACTTAAAACTTGCAAAATACACAATTTTTACATCCTGTAAGTCCTATAAAATCAACATAATCATCATGGATACTTCCACCAACATGACCTTACACCAGCACAAACCACACTTTTCACTACCAGTATTCTTATGTTTACTTTCATTTACAAAACAGTCTTGATGCGTTTGAATTTTTCTGCAACTGTCACTGTTAGAAGAATGTTTTCTTTTCAGCTGGGCTTTCTTCTGGAGTTTGAGAAGATGTTTAGCCTTCAAGTTTTTTAATTTTTGGATAGACTGGTCAAGCTGTTCCTGCCTCTTTCTATTTTTAGCTCCTGTGACCTAATTTTTGACCGGACATGACCCATCTTCAAACTTGACCTAGAAATCATCAAAACAACCTTCCTGACAAATTTCCAGAATATTTGATTGAAAACTGCAGCCAGTTGTGTTAACAAGCTTTTTCTATTTTTAGCTCCAGTGACCTAGTTTTTGACCGGAGATGACCCATCTTTGAACTTGACCTAGAAATCATCAAAACAACCTTCCTGTCAAATTTCTAGAAAATTTGTATCAAAACTGCAGCCACTAGAGTATTAACAAGCTTTTTCTATGTTTAGCTCCTGTGACCTAGTTTTTGACCGGATTTGACCCATCTTCAAGCTTTTAATGTAAGGTGTTCTTGGTATGTGGCATGTGCATAAATTACACACTTCTTCATGTCTGGAGTGACTACCATTTTGTTGGCTGTAACACTCTTCCTCTTGAGTACCATCTTCACAATGGCAACAGCCTCATAATTTTCTATTGCCATTGTGGCTCTATCATCCTCAATTATGTCCCCCATAATGTTAAAAGTCCCCTCAACCAATGGGCCACTAAATGCTGTCAACAAAGAACAAGCTAACCTAGATAGGACATGATATCTCTGTTTTTCAAATGTCTTTAATTTTATCACATGACCCCAAAAATTCTCATCAACCCTGTCATTATCTTTGTAATTTGAAGCCAGTAAAGCAACCTGCCTGTCCACTGCATAGCTGTTCAGCTCGGAGTTGAGACAACCCATGTCCTCCTCAGTAACAACATTTGGTAACTCACTCACGCAGCCTTGCCAGGTTTCTGAATGCCTTTGAGCACTGGCTATGGCTGTGAAAAGCTAGATCAAGTACAGACATGTATCTAAATGTCGATTAAGTGTAAAAATTTGAACAGACCAGTCCGTACCAGCAACAATCTGACAATGTCATGGCCAACATAAGAGGGATAAGATAGAGACACAGCAGGGGCTTCATCAATGCTAGGTCTGCCAATTTTAGTGTGTTTTTTTTCTTTAATGAATTTTAATTTAATACAGAAATTGAAATTCGATTGCGTAAGCTTTTCCCAAAATTTTGGTTTCCAGAATCTTTGGCATAATTATATGACATTGATGTTATTTCATATCTTCAATACAGAATTAAAAGAGAAAAACTACAAAAGTTAAATACCTCCATTTGTTCTTCGCTCTCTTATCAATTTCGCTCACGTTGTAGCCAGCTGGTAAAAATTTCATCGTAAATTTTATAAATTCAAATCGTTAAACAAAAGCGGCCACCTTTGCATGTAAACTTCAGAATGAATCGGCGATAATAAGTCATCCAATCAAAATGCGCGATAAAAATCGGGAAGAGTAAAAGCCGTTTCCCCGGTCCAAAACAGTACTCTTACGAAGCGGCGAAGCTTTCGCCAAAAAGAAATTTCAGATCGACCTTTCAACCCGGATTTACATGAATTGGAAAAACAGCCCAGACAAAGGCCGAAAATCTGGAAATTCGGCACAATCCCGAAAACTTTTACCCCTGCAATGCGCACATTTTCTTTAATCATTTCCAAGATTCATATATGCAATGGAAATGCATCACTTTGATAGATACTAGTATAAACTATTGCTTGGGAAAAAAAACACCTGACCACACTAAATATCTTAAATGGACATGTCTATATTTCAGCTGGATGAAACCATTCATCATTTCGAGGGGAAAATTTCAAAATATATACTTACTGAATAGCAAACAGTGCAGACCATGATCGGTGAGAAAAAATGTGCTTAACTGATCTTGATCTGATCTGCACTGGTTGCATGAGAAGAATCAGTTAATTACCCAATAGCAGATCAACATAGTACTGCTACTGAGTATAAAAGTAAAGTTACAAGCTTTTAGGTATGCAGGGAAAGAAATAAAAACACAGAAAACTGATTGGTGTAAAAGGTTTCAACAAGACATATACCGAGAAAACAGATCATAGAATCATACCAGATCATTCTGAAATATTTTCACTCACCATTTAGATAAACCTAATTTTCGAGTAAAAAAATGCAGTAAGATACATTATAATACATGTATTATTTTTTGGATTAAAAGTTACACACACGCTGTAAAGGGTCATCATGACACAACTTTCCTATAAAGGTAAATTATAAAGGTAAATTATAAAGGTGAAGTGCCAATATGTGAATTGCATCTGTCTTTAGAGGACACCTAAGTAGAACCACCAATTTTGTTTATTAAATAGAATTGTATTTTAAAGAAATTTAATTATAATAATTGTATTTTAAAGAAAATTAATTAATTGTATTTCAAAGAAATTTAATTAAGTTATTAACTGATTGATAAACAAGAGCTGTCAGTAGAACAGTATGCTCGACTTTTCTCAGTGCGCATGCTTGATAATAAAACAAGAGCCATTTTCTAAGTTCAAAAGGGCCATAATTCTGTCAAAATCCATGTAAGAGTTATGGGTCTTGGATAGTCAACTCCTATTTAATTATGCTCTCAAATAAGCGTGTGAAGTTTCAAACCATTCCCTAAAAGTATGTTTTGAGATACCAATTTACAAGCAATGACTAACAAAAGTGTGACAACCATGTCATTGCCTAGGTAAGTACAATAGCTTTCCCTTTTCCTCAAATAGTTGAGCTTAAATTAAAAGTTCAGTAATTAAGGTCTAAAATGGCACAGTTAGAGGGGCTGGACATAATGCTCAGCCTAATCAAAGGTATAATTTACACAATTTTGATTTGTTTATATCCAGGAAATTACTTATACAAAATAATATTATGTATATATGACAATGATTTATAAGTTGATCATAAACACAATTTACTTCACATCTATCACCATTCATTTATGAAAATCATTTCAAAACTCAGAAAGTAAAATACAAGCAAAATATATGTTAATAATTTAAAATAATACTGCAAAATCAATATTATTTGTGGGACACTAATTTTTGTGGTTTTCATGGACAGATCAATCCACAATTTTAAGATCCAATGAAATTTCATTTCATCTGCTGTAAGATTATTTTGCATCACATTATTTACATTGTGCTTTTTGGAAAAATAGACAGTCCACAAATTTAAGAACCCATGAAAATGTTCTTTTTGACAAAACCACAAAATTTCATGCCCACGAAATTAAGAGAATTCACAGTAAATAGAAGAATGTTAGTCATCATGGGATACCCACAGTTGATTAACAGATGTAACATAACATGATAAAACCGTTCGGCCTTGGGTATCCAAGGATGGATGTTAGTAGGTATTGTTTAAATTATTAAAATAGAGAAAATATGTCCTCATTCAGTTAAACTGTTAATCTAAGAAAAGTAAGTGTCAAAATGTGACGTAAATATGGTCTCCTACTACAGTGGCAATATCTGTAGATCAAAACCCTCGCCTTAAAGCAGTAACAGGTTAACTACTATAAATTTTAATTGGAGTTAACCCGTTACTGCACCAATCACCTTGATGCAGTAACAGAATAACTCATACAAAATTTCAATAGAAGTTAACCCATTACTGCACTCAGGTGATGAAGCTACAAAAAAACTGTACATATCGTCATCTTAGTGCAATAACAAATTAACTCCTATAAAATTTCAATAGTAGTTAACATATTACTGCACTTAAAGGTGATGAAAGTACAAAACACTACCTATGAGATATTTTCTTCCACACCCATCCCACAAAAGAAACCTCTATTTTTTTACTGCAAAATTTCAATCAATTTTTTCTGCAGAAAAAATTTCAATCATGATAAAAGCTACATGCCTCCAGGTTCGTGCTAATTTTCGTAAGATTTTAAAAAATTTATTAAAAAAGTAAAATGTTCTCAAGTGAACAAAGAAAGTAACTTACGCATTGAAAATGGCACTTTCCTTCCATGTAAATTACCAAATAACGGTCAAAATATGCAAAAATAGCAACCAATCGTAAATAATCAATTATTTCTTTTCCGTACTGGTATTTTGATCTACATACATTGGGCCATGTTAAAGGAGACTGTATCGAAACATGACATTATTTTCTTACCATAACCCTTGTTCGTAAATCCGGTACTATTTTCAGAAGATGTTGACAGATGATCGACATCATCGTCAAATTTTTTGTCTGTGTTAAATTGTAACGTTCCGTCACCTCCTCCTAAAGCTGGAGTAATAGAAGTAACAGAGCATTTGTGTGTGAGTGAATAAGATTTTAGTGTCTCTCTCAGCAAACTATATAATATAGATCAGTTATATAGGTGACAAAAGGAGTTTATTAGAAGCACAATTAATATTATAACATATGTTACACTCGTGTTAAAATGTGGAAAGCAACATGTATATCTACTGCCTATAATTAACAAAATTATGATCCAAATTAAAATTTGAGCCGCATCACGACAAATGCAACATAGTGCGTTTGCGACCAGCATGGATCCAGAAGAGTCTGCGCATCTGTGCTGTCTGATCAGGATCCATGCTGTTCGCTTACCAACTCTATTACAAGTATAGAAACTGATAGCGAACAGCATGGATCCTGATGCACGGATGCGCAGGCTGGTCTGGATCCATGCTGATCGCAAACGCACTATGTTGGTTTTGTCATCACGCGGCACAATTTTATGCTGCTTCATTTGTATGAAAAAATGTAAATGGTAAAGTACTTATTAATAAAGAAATTAGTTTCAGTTTCAAGAAAAGCTTTGGATTAGATACAGCCAGGAAAAATTCAGCGCATCAAATTAGAATGATCAGCTATTACGTTATATGCTATGTTATATGCTATGTATATGCTATGAGTATGATAAATACTCATGAACTAGGATTTAAAGAATTGGAACTGTGCCAAAAGAATACTAAGAAAATAGTAACAGAAGAACTAGGTAAAGAAAGGACTAGGTAACCGAAGGACTAAGTAATGAATAAACAGTGGACGTAAAAGATATCTTACTGTTGGAAGCACCAGATACAGATTTTAACGTTGTGTAGCGGTCCTCAACGTCATCGATATCAGCGTATTGAGAAGAAACCGGTCGACTTCTTCGATCATCTAGCGTGACTTGTAATTTTTCCACATCAATCTCATCGCAGGGGTCACATGATTGCTGACGATGTGGGAGAGGAGGCCGGGCTACAGAGGCATGTTGACTGAGATGTGGGTACCGGCGCTCGTTTCTGTCATTATCAGCAGTATATAATGGATTATCTACACCAATAGCGGTACCAGCATGACCATCTGTGAATATATTTATATAAAAGTTATTTTTATCACACTGAAAAGTGAGAAAGTTGCATTACTTGCACAAGCATGTAGCATATGAAGTGAAAATATGGATAATTTCTCAATTTGATATAGCATATTCACAAAAAACAAACAAATTTTCTTTCTATTTAATATACAGTTAAACTTCATCCACTAGAACTCAAAGGGCCTGTGCAAATTTGTTCGAGAGATCGGTAGTTTGAGCTTAACGATGCTTAAGTATTTTCATGTATTATATGCTCATATTGTATGGAGGATATAATCAAACGTGACGGTTTTCCCACTAAATGAATCAGTCTTATGAAAAATATGTCTGCACAATTGTTTTTAGTGAGTCATTGCGTCAAATATGTCATTTTGCCTAAATATTAAAAATTATTGTCCTGTGTTTTCAAAATGCGTTTTGATAGTACACTTTATTATGAAGTAGAATAGAGTTTTACTGTATACTAATAAAAAAATATCAAACTTAATTAAATATAATTTTTTTGTCAAAATATGGACAAAGCAGAGACTATATGGATCACAATTGTGGAGCATTATACATTATTAAAAACTTACTTGGAATAGTTGTTTCTCCAGGTATGATACCGTCGGCCTCGTACCTCACACGCATATTTTCCTCCTTCAATCCTCGTACCTTTCTCATATAGTACGCCACAATTAGGGCAATGATCACAAGTAGTATGACACACGGAATTACGACAGCAATAATTAAAGCTGTCGCACCTGACGAAGCCGTTTCTACGTCGCTACCTTTCTGTTGCGCAATAATGGTAATACCCTTGTCATCTGTAACATATTTCAAATATAATTCAGTAATTCTGCATCTTTTTGTAATTATGTGTTTTGTATTGCTCTTATTATGTAAATTCCTAGTTCTGTATTTTTTTTTTGTAATTCTGATTTTTTTTTGTAATTCTGTACATTTTGTAATGCTGCAATTATGTAATTTCCCGATTGTGTATATTTTTTGTAATTCTGTATACCGTATATATTTTTTGTAATTCTGTACATTATTCGTAATGCTGTATTTTTTGTAATGCTGTACTTTTTTTGTAATTCTGTAAAAAAAAATATTATGCTATAAATATGTAATTTTCTAATTCTGTATATTATTGTATTTTTTTATTACATTGTATTATTATTCATTACCTTGTGAAATGTAGTCCATTCCTTGTGAAACGTATCCCATTATTCATTTCCTTATGAAATGTATCCCATTATTCATTACCTTATTAAATGAATCCCATTATTCATTTCCTTGTGAAATGTATCCCATTATTCATTTCCTTGTGAAATGTATCCCATTATTCATTTCCTTGTGAAATATATTCCATTATTCATTTCCTTGTGAAATGTATTCCATTATTCATTGCCATTTGAAAAAGTATTCATTTCCTTGAGAGATGTACTCCATTATTCATTTTCTTGTGAAATATATTCCATTATTCATTTTCTTGAGAAATATATATTCCATTTTTCATTTCCTTATGAAATGTTTTCAATTATTCACTGAAAACTGAACAAATATCCCCTATATATTTGGAAATTTTAAATTATTAACTTAAGATATCAAGAATAAATTTTACCTGTGTCACAAGCTGTGCCCTGGAAGCCATCAAAACAGAGACAGTCACCTGTTTCACCATCACACCTCCCGTTCCCATTACAATTACATGTTTTAACACAGTTTGGTCCCCAATTATTATCTGCACATATTATGTCACATTTCTTTCCTACACAACAAATAGACATTTATTAAGCAACGTTTTCATGCATATACATGTATACAGGCAACAAGAATTTTATATAACTTATAATTATATGGTTATAGAACAATAGATTTATTCTGTTTTTATAGAATGACTGACAATGCATGGCCCTCTAATCAATGAAGGATAATTCAAAATTTAAAAAGAAATACCCCCTTTTCAAAAGAATAATTGGCCATTAAGAGCCCTGTAATCAACGAAGGGAAATCAAGAAATTACACCCAAAAATGGCCCCTATGTCCATTTAATGCAAACTTTACAGCCAACAGTGTTTGAATGCATGTTACATAATATTGCATGTACAATTCAAGATATTCTAGGAGTATTGTAGAATTTTTGACATGTGACCAGAACATGCCATCCAATCTGTACATGTACCTTTATCAAAGATATATACATGTATATCACTGATGGGTTTTGGTAAGAAGTGGAACTCTTTCAGGCGATAATAGATTTAAAACAATCTATTGAACATTGAAACATAAAAAATTATGTACAGTCCCGATGGTGATGTTAATTGAGGGTTTTTACTGTACTTATGTACATATATAATCGTATATATAATTTTAGCACTCGTACCTGACCACCCTCCTTTACAATGGCAGTATCCATGTACATGGTTACAATAGTCTGTCCCACCTGATGTACAGTCACATGTTTGTCTACAGAAATATCCGTACTTCCCTGCTTCACATGACTGGTCACAAGATTTACCAGTATAACCTGAAAATATAAATATATATGTAAATATATACATAGTTACATTATAAGTGTATAATTAGACTAAAACTGTTAAGTCTTTATACAGTATTTAATAACATATATCATAAAACATGATTTTTTTATATAAATATAAAGATGTTTAGTATTCGAATGTATTCGTGTAGTTTAAATGTGAAATCTGATCTACAGTCTGGGTTACAATGACATTAATATCCTTTGGTGACTATAAAACATTATACATGAACGACAAACATTTTGGTGGCATAAGCATTTAATGAACTTCAAACCTTTGTTGACATAAACATTGTTTATGAACTACTACAAACCTTGGGTGGCATAAACATTGTTAATGACTACAAACTTTGGTGACATAAACATTGTTAATGAACTACAAACTTTTAGCGACATAATCATTATTCATGAACTACAAACCCCTGGTGATATAAACATTTTTCACGAATTACAAACCTGGTTGATTTATACATTGTTCGTTAACTTCAAACTTGGGTCATATAAACATGGTTCATGAACTACAAACCTGGGTCATATAAACATTGCTCATGAACTACAAACCTAGTTGATATATACATTGTTCATGAACTACAAACCTGGGTCATATAAACATTGTTAATTAAGTACATCACTGTAACTATAAACTTGAGTTTTATAAACATTGTTTATGAACTACTAACCTGGGTGACATAAACATTGACCATTGCGTGGACTACAAGTTGACCTCTCTGGACAGGAACAAACTTGACTACAGTTGAAACCAAATGTACCAATGGGACATGACTTCTCACAAGTTTTACCTGAAATATTATAAAATTCTCTACAAACTTCAGATATCATATTGTCTAGAAATATTAGAAATTATATTCTCCAGAAATTATATTTCCTTAAGTTATCTAAACACATTACAAGTCATTATTTATTCTCTTAAAGTTTCTAGAAATACTGGAAAATTATATGTTTTGCTGAAATCTTTATTTTCCACCTGTGTAAATGCATGAGCCAGTACCTATAACAGGACCTTATGTCATAATAAAACCAATTTATCGTTATTCTATAGTTCAAATTAGTATACGTCAAAGTTTGTTAGTAGAATGTAAAATATACGTACCAAAATATCCGGGGAGACATTCGCAGTAACCGTATCTCGGATGACAGATGGCGTCATTTTCACATGCGCACCTTTTCAAACAGTCTTTTCCCCAATAACCATCTGGACATCTTTTATCACATTTTTCCCCTGTTAATTTGATATAACATGACATATAACTTACACATGATTTAATGTAAAATGATGATTTAGCTGACATAAAACATATAACTGACACATGATTTAATGTAAAATGATGATTTAGCTGACATATGACGACATATAACTTACACATGATTTAATGTAAAATGATGATTTAGCTGTCATATGACATATAACTTACACATGATTTAATGTAAAATGATGATTTAGCTGACATATAACATATAACTTACACATGATTTAATGTAAAATGATGATTTAGCTGACATATGACATATAACTTACACATGATTTAATGTAAAATGATGATTTAGCTGTCAAATGACATATAACTGACACATGATTTAATGTAAAATAATGTTTTAGCTGACATATGACATATAACTGACACATGATTTAATGTGAAATGATGATTTAGCTGTCAAATGACATATAACTGACACATGATTTAATGTAAAATAATGATTTAGCTGACATATGACATATAACTGACACATGATTTAATGTAAAATGATGATTTTGCTGACATATGACATATAACTGACACATGATTTAATGTGAAATGATGTTTTAGCTGACATATGACATATAACTGACACATGATTTAATGTAAAATGATGATTTAGCTGTCATATGACATATAACTGACACATGATTCCATGCTGTTACATGACATATAACTTGACACATGATTTTATATATTTATGATCAAGATGTTAATATAATTTTATTCAACTTGTTTAATAAATTCTGGATTGAACTTACATTCATTCAATATCCTCTATATATGACATATAAATGACATATGATTTTAAGTAATAGTATGTTATAGGTCACAAATCAAGTGATTGTTTTCCACATTTGAATTAGTATGTTGCCAACAATGCAATTATGTTTGCCAACCCCTGGTAGCCCCTGCTGAATAGGCACATATTTCTTTTTTGTTAGACTTCAGGTCACAGTGATTAACACTATACAGGTAAAATGGCTGCTAACTTAACTTTCCAGCTTTACCAGTAGGGGAAGATCTCAGATGCCTCTCTATGCAATATTTCAGACAGGAGCCAGTGTCTGAGTAGAACTACAGACCCTATGTAACCTTAATGTAATGTAAGCTAGCTTGATAGCTCACCCACAAAAAAAACTCAATAGTTCCTACAGGGATTTGTACCTAAAGAGCATGTTGGCTTATGAGGCCCTTTAGATGCATGCAATAAGAAAATATACAGTTACTAAGGAAGTATTATTTTACCTATATATCCAGGATAACATGATGTACACTCTCCGGTCACATGATCACAATCACCGTTAGCGCATGAACAAACTTTCGAACAATTCTCACCATAAAATGGCATAGTACATGTCTCTGTACACTGGTTCCCGGTGTAACCAGGTTTGCAAGAACAGGAACCAGACTTTGGATGACAACTGAAGATCAAGTTAAGAGAAAAAATTACATTTATATATTCTCTGATTTAAAATAAATAAATCATGAATATCAACCTATTTATAAGTTGTTTGAACACATTTTTTTAAGCTCAAATAATGAACCTTATTTAAACCTCTCTCAAGTCTGCTGCCAGGTACTTACCAGTACTGGTGTCATATGAGGAGACATGGTCTTGACCTTAGTAGGGCTTGAACCCAAGATCCCTGGGGTTGAGAGGCAGAGAGCCTCCAACTATGCCACCACACTTCTACTGACGCATTTATTAACTCAAAGTGTATAAACATATGAGTAGTTCTATAAAAACAAGTCTTGAAAACATTACAGTACAATGAAATAAAATATAACCTGTCTGTATTATTCCAGTTACAACTACAGTCTTGGCAAGCTGCTGATGTGCCGGGAACCAAATATTTACCTTCCTCACAGTCTGAAATTGATATAAATGACATCATAATTAGAATGACACTACATTAATGGAACACACCTACAGATATATGTATACATTAAAGTAATGTATGAACAATTCAAAAACTAAAGACTGTAAATTTCTCAAAAGATTTTCTTTTTTGGTGAACTGTAACAGTTTTTAAGATAATACTTTTAAGCATTCAAATGTTAATGAGGTAGGGCAATTAGAAGTTACAGTGATTAAGAATTTTTCATTATTTTGTAATGAAAACAAAATACTAGTTTGTTTACGTTAAACTACTTTTAAACAAATATTTTCTAATTCAATTCTGCTTTTTTTCACGTAATAAGCATCTAACAAGCTATAACTCCATTATCAAAGATCATCATCATTATCATTCAAAATCACAGGTTTGCCTTTTCCCCAGTGGAAAATCATTATGAATTTCATAGGCTATGTGCCTGTAATGTGAACAAGCTCCAAGATATAGCAAATGCAATCACAATAGCTTGGTTTCCAAACACTTCACAATGTGACTCACCTCTTACAGCACATGTATCACCATGGTAACCAGTTCCCTCACAATTACACATGGTGAGTTGAGAATTTGTGTCACGATAACATTTCCCGCCATTTCTACAACCACACTGCGTCAGGCAGCCGACACCATAAAATCCTTCTGGACACTTGATGTTACAGCTAAAAACATAAAACATCGGAATATGTTCATCTATTTATAGAAACAAAAAGGTTTTAAGTCACAATGACACTGTAAAGGTCATATGATGACTTTCCAGCTTTAACTGGTGGAAGAATACATCAGTTGCCTCCATGTGTGCATGAACTCTGTCCTAGGTAGAACAACAGTAAGCTAGCTTGATGTTTTCTAACTTGGAAGAACTCAAAAGTCCTTGCCAGATTTGAACCACACAACAGTGACCGGCAAGTGATATGAAGTCAGTGACTTTACCCACTCAGCCACAGAGACCTCACCATACCTAAATAAAACATATCTGTACATCTGTGAAGTCAGGCTCTAAACTGGTGGTAGCTCAATTTTTCTACATGTATTTTGATAATGAAATCCTTTAAACTTTAAATGGACTTCTCCAATGTTAAAGCAGGGAAAATCCATTACACAAATTTAGGAAGTCAAGTTTAAGGCAATAAAAATGGTGTTATTACCTGTCACCAGCGTATCCTAGGTAACATGCACATGTTCCATCTTTCCGGTTGCACACACCAGAGTTACACTGACATGTATTGGTACAGTTGATGCCCCAGTGGAAACGATCGCAAAACTCTGTACAGAATTCACCCTGTAAATGTACAATATGTTAAAATGTATAATATCTTATCATAATGAACATTACTTTAATTTAATTCAATTGTGACAGTAATTTAAGTGTATTTGGGTGGAAAAGTCCCCCAAATGCGCAATTCTATGTAAGTGTTGGAAAAATAATTAGAACAATATAGGACTTAACAAAATGCATATTGTTGCAATTATTTTTTCTAACTTAACTTTGCAACATGATGTCTATGTTTTATAATAATAATGCAAGCAAGTAATGTTGTTTTCCATTGGATAATCGTGATGATTCTATAAAATATATACACCACAGCTGTCAATTTGTAAAGTAATTTCATTTTTTTTCTCAAATAAAGAAAGTTTGCCATAACATGTATTATAAATTCATTATATTAAATATTTTTTAAAGGTTATTAAAAACGTTTTTGCAATAAATTCCTTGCCCAGTGGCTGACTGGTATATCATAACATACACAAAATATCATTTACATAGCGCCATGTTAACAAAGAATCTAATCGAGCTCCTCTGCATTACTTCTTCACATGATTCACTAAAATCAGCACTGCAGACTATTTAACAAGGGTTTTAGTTTAACATATTCTATTTTAGCTCAATTATAATGAAAGCTTGGCATTTATTAAATCTGTTATCTGAAAGTAATAAATACTAGTGTTGCTACATGTAAATGAAGAATCATGATCATTACCGCAGTGCAGGGCTCTAATCCATAATCCCCAAGTTGAAAGGCAGACACCTTAACCTTCCTATCTCACTACAGGATTCACATCATTATGTCCCCTAAATTTATTTTGATTAAGTGGTGTTTAAAACTGATTGATGCATTACCTTCACGCCAGGTGGGCAAATACAAGCACCTGAAATCGAATCACATACACCGTTATTCTGACATGGGCAAGTCTGTTCGCAACCCTCTTCTCCGCTGGTTGATGGGTCACATTGTTTATGACAACTGAAATATTACATGTATTTAATTTTTAAAAAATAACCCAAACCTTTGTGATTTAATTGGTAGATATTTAGGAAATAGATATCAATTTTGAGTGCATTGTTGTAGAATAATGCACAGTTTAAGTTCAAAAGTTTATATCAAACAGGTAAACCGTTCATTATCATATTACAATGCAAGTAAAATTAATATCTATTTCCATTCTAACAGGCTAATAAAATAGAAAATTGATATAAGATATCTTGAACTACATTGAAATAACTTTCCTCACATCATTATGTTAATTGATGTAATATATGACGTCCTTTTACATGTAAGCCTTCGTTTTTAAAGCTGTGCATAATTTTATTATATGTTGTGTAATAACGCACTAAAGTCTTGATTGCCTTATCAGTGTTGACAGGGGAAATAGTGTGAAGCAATTGTAAGAATAAAATGCTTGTCAGCATATAGCTATTTAAGCTTGATTTCAAAGAAAACTTACAGCTCATTTGAACTACTACTAGTATCGAGTCCGCAGCCTCGAACTAACCAGTACTGTGTTATATATCAGGAAATGTGGCCGTGACACATACTGTGCTCAAACTCAAGATTCCTGGGTAGAGAGGCAGACACCTTAACCACTAAGTATTTTGGCTTGATTTAATTGATAACTACCGGCAATTAAAGAACCTATTTGTTAAGATGTCCTAGTTTTTGTTTGGTTTTTATTAACATTTAATAAATAGAAACATTCAAAAAGGTGGTATCTAAAAACACAATATCAAATAATTTCACTCACTATGCTCCAAAATAGCCAGGTGCGCAAGTACATTTACCATTGACGTGGTCACATGTCGCCCCGTTCTCACATACACATGAATGCACACAGTTCAGACCGAAGCTGTTGTAACACTTGGTAGAACAATCGTTTCCGGTGTAACCTACAAACATATAAATAAACTGTTTCTCTTTCTATTCCATATCATTTTACTGTCCAGTAATAAAATATGAAACTCAAACAATTGTGCCAAAAAATGTCCCGGAATCAGGTGTTCTGGCATAAATGTTGGGATGATATCACTCAATCTAAATCTGATCTCAATGACTGTATAGTATCGACAGATGTTTCAAAATGGACGCAACATGAACAAAACTGACATCAACGTACGTCACATCACGCAGGAACGCTATATATTGTAACTATAATTTGTGCCGTGGCATGACAAAACCAACATAATGGGTTTGCGACCAGCAAGGATTCAGACCAGCCTGCGCATCCGCACAGTCTGATCAGAATACATGCTGTTCGCTATCAGTTTCTCTACTTGTCATAGGGTTTGTTAACGAACAGCATGGATCCTGATCCGACTGCGCGATTGCGCAGGCTGGTCTGGATCCATGCTTGTCGCAAACCCATTATGTTGGTTTTGTCATGACGCGGCTCATTTATGATGTCTTGAGCGTCTAACAATAATGCAATATAATACCTAACATGTGTCTTAATCCTGCCATCATGAATTGCTCAAATCATAAAGAACCAAATTATGTGCACCAACGCAATTTATTAGGGTTCGTATTCCTTTGACACAAAATTAATTAACCCATAGCCTGCCAGCTACGATTGGCTACCCATTGTGACCAAAGCACACCGATAATCAACTGACGCATCTTTGCCATCTGATCATTGTCTGCACTGTTCGCTATTTAGTCTGAACTTATTTCAAAATTTCCCCCGAAAATTGATAAATGGTTTAGTCCAAATTAAAAGATAGACAAGTCCATTTAAGATATTTAGCATGGTAATCAAGGTTTAAACAAAATAACTGAAATCTAATTGATGTTTTGTAGGCAGAAGTAATATAGATCAATGATGAAATAGTTCACTGGAACTAATTAAAAACATTTATTATTTATTCTATATGTCAATGATCATACAATTCCTATGTGAAATTAATTTTTAAAAATATTAAATTTTCATATTGTTCGATTCCCTTCGTTTCAGATGAAGTAGTGATGATCAAGGCGAAACAAAAGGTTCCAGACGGTCACACAGCATGTAATTTGACTGTGTTATATTTGAAACTTGGCCTCACTAACATCACCTTTTCCAGTCTATGTTTTGATTATCCAATGACCTTTGACATTTACTTTCTATAAAATTATGTAAGTGATAAACATTGCATTCATACATTCAGATAAGTAAAATTATTGAAATCCAGTTGGGAGGATACACTTTTAAATAATTTTTTTAAATTCCAAACTCGAAGCCAATGATCTATAAATTTTGACTTCATATTTTCTGAATTTTGCTTACCAATATGACACACACAGTTGCCGTTGGTAGGGTCACATGACCCGTGAGTACCACATTGACATGTGTTTGAACAATCTGGTCCCCATTGGTTACTGGCACATCCTGTATAGAAATATTCTGTATTATCATCATTTATTCTTCATTCTTCTATTTTTATCAATATTATTATTGCAATATGAATTACATGATAATGATGATTTTGATGAAAATTGTTGTTGCTGATTATGATGATGCTGATAATAATGATGGTGTTGATGATGATTTTGATGATTGATGATTTTGGTGATGATTTTGATGATGATGATGATTTTGGTGATGATTGTGATGATGATTTTGATGTTGATGATGATGATGAAAGTTATTTATTTTAACATTATTGTTATCATTATCATCATGATTATCATTAAATTATTATTATTATTATCATTATTATTATTATTATAATAACTTAAAATATCTGTATTCAAAAAATCATGACCTTACACTGAGATTTTATTTATAGCATCTTAATAGCCGAGCCTAATATTTAAAATTTTCTGAATGTGAAAAAAAAGTTATGATGCAAGGACTTAAAGAACTTAATTACCTGACTGGCAATTTGCACCTTTAAACCCTGGCTCACATTTACATTTGTCAGGTAAAACACAATATCCCTGTGTCTTATTAGCATAACAATTGTCTGTACATTTAGCTGAAATAAACATAAAATTCTATAAATAAACAACAATATTTGGTTAAAGTGAAATGAGTCACAAGTCTCCAGATGAGCCAAAATATTTCAAGAAAATCAAACTGGACGAAAATGTACTGTAAATGTTAGATTTTGAAGAAATGAAAAAAGTATTCAAGATTTAAGTAAAATTTAACATGTTATATAATTATGCCATTAATGATCAATCTTGTTTCAATGTTCATGAAAATAACAGCATAAATCTGGAGGCATGCTGCTTTAAACAACATAGTACATGTACACAATTGGGTAACTTTTAGATATACCATAAATATATTTATTCTTTGATTATGTCTATAAAATGCAACTAATTTACCACTTTGTTTACCAATACGGGGAGGGGTGTCCGGGCGGGGTTATATGAGTTGTGGGGAAAAAGATTAATTTGTAAAGAAAAGCTAAATCAAACTGACATTTTTTAAACCTTGATGGGTTTTTTTTCTATAAAATTCTTAATTGTGCAGTCGACTAAAATTAAAGGACAGATAAAACCATGGTAATATAAACCAAACTTATCACAAAAGTTTCAGTACACAGAAAATAGGTTACGAAAATAATTTGCTATGCTTAGTTAACTTTTCTGTGCGTCACACATTGAAATTTGAACAATTTAATTATACACATAGGTATATACCATATCCTGATTTTAATATTTAAACTGAATGATTCAACGGAAACGAGAATAATCCATATCATCACAAATGCATGACACGTAAATCTAAATTTAGAACAGTAGGAAAACATGTTAAAACATTTAAGGGTGGGAAAATTTCAGATGATGGTAAAATTGGCTGCAAAATGTACAAAAAGTTTATAATGTACAAGAACAAAAAGAGTGAAGAAAGTGGTCACAGGAATTTGAGGGAGTGGCATTACATGTTACCATGGTAACAGGAAGTCAATGTTTATTTCCCATACTAATATATTATGAAACAATAACATTTATTTGTATCACCAACATATGAACTATGCAAATCTTCTATTGTAACAAATGAACATGACAACTGGTATGATAGCAAAAATATGATATTTGCCAGATACAAAAAGTGAAGAAAAAACAAAAACCACTGATAACTACCACTTATGAAAAATGATAACTACCACTTACATAAATGAGAATTATCTTAGAATACTTATATTATGTCTGGAAGCATTGTGTTCTGATAATTAAATACATATAGCTAATAATACTATAATGTTACATTTATCAACCATAGTTTTCCTGTAGAATTAATTATTTTGTGAACAGTGTATAATGACCTATAATCTAACCTGCAATACCAGACAATATATTATACATAATTTATGTACATTTAAATAACCTATAAACTATCATAGAAGGTCAATTAACTACAAAATAAATTTGTATACTGAATAATCATTCAACTGAAATTTACTTAACATTTCATACTAAACATAATGCACTAGTCAATTAAAACCCTTTTCACAACTCAAAACCCGCCAAAAAGTAGGGAAAAAAAGGTCCCTCACTCAGCACATCTGTGTCAATATGTTTGGTTGTTTTAGTGCCAAAATGGCAAGTGATTTCCAAATCACATCGCTAGTGCTGCTTTAAATAAGGAGTTTATCATATGAAATGACCTCGTCTTTTTACAGGAGATTGAATGTTCAAACTACATTGTATTAACTTAAGATAGGGGGAGGAGTGGGGAATGATTTTTTTGTAGTTTAAGCACTTAATATTTTAACCAAAGTTTGTTTAGGTGGGTCAGAATTGCAATAAATCTAAGATAATTATCTCATACCAGTATATTACAAAAATAGTACTTACGTATGCAATAATTGTTGCCGAGTAACGATTTGTAACCTTCACAACAAAAGTAGCGTATTTGGCTATTGTAGCGTGTTTCTACTTTGTAGGCTGTTCTGGCAGCGATTCTGAAAAACAATTTAATCATGTCAATCAGTAATTGCTACAGGTGTGGGCTCTATACCTAGATATCGCATGTTCAAGCCCTATTTGACTCCAGTACTGGTAAACACGTTGTTATGTAAGGTTACTGATTGTGTTTCTTAGAATAATGACTTTAATCTGACAGCTCGTATTACGATCGTTAATATTCTAGAAATGTTAAAAGTCAAGATATTCATGAATAAAGCATTTTGATTGTAAAAAAAACTCTGAAAATTCCACCATTTTGATCCTAAAAAAAACTCTGAAAATTCCATAAAAATGTAATTCAAGCATACTTTGCACTTTATTGTTATCAAGCTGATAGGGCAAAACAACTTCATTATTGCACGATATATGCACAGCATAAAAAACGAATGCTAACATGCCTTATGACATCAGATATGACATCAATTAACAAAATGACATCAGGAAAATTACTTCTGCCCTCAATGTAGTTCAACATAATTACATGTATTTTAATCAATTCTCTTTTTTATCTAAGCATGAAAAACTGGAAATAGATATTAATTTTTTGTGCATTATAGGGTTATATATTGTTCAAATGCTTTGTATTTAATCATATTAAATAATTATATGCCTAGGCATTTGAATTCAAATCGTGCATTATTCTACAACATTTATATAATGCACTCAAAAATTGATATCTATTTCCTAAAGCCTCTATCACATCAGCCCTAAGGAAGCTGTATGAACAAATTTTGACAAAAATCGCTTTGTTTCGTGTGGGAGCCGCAAGACAACATTCGTTCGGATTCTTTAAGGTCGCAAGTTTGCCGCAACATTGCAGACTGATTTCTCATCATGCTCATTATTTCTGCAATTTTTGACAGATTTTGGATGTCTTAAGACTGTCGTAAGACAATCGTATGAAAGACTCAAGATTTCTAGAGGTTCCCATGTAAAAATGTTTTGCGTTTGTCTTGTGAGGACCGCAGATTTGCGGCACGAGCATCTTGCAGCTACCGCGGCCGTAATGAAATGATATTAAGTGACATATCTACAAAACTGTCTAGATAGACTGCGAAATTGCCTGCCACCTTTCTACGGTACAGATTTCTCTACAAATTGTACGAATCAAATTTTGTGCGGCTAATGTGATAAAGAGGCCTTAGTTACTCAAAGATATGAACCGTGTCACAACAAAACCAACATAATGGGTTTGCGACCAGCATGGATCCAGACCAGCCTGCGCATCCGCGCAGTCTGATCAGGATCCATGCTGTTTACTTATCAACTCTATTATAAGTGGAGAAACTGACAGCGAACAGCATATATCCTGATCAGACTGCGCGAATGGATCCATGCTGGTCGCAAACGCACTATGTTGGTTTTGTCGTGACGAGGCTCATATATACTACCTGTATTCTGTACATCTTGGTGGAATACTCAGACACCATGTATTTGTTTTCTGTGTATAATACTGTGTAAACGAAACTCTTACTGTGTATGGTATTCTGAAATATGCACATAAATCTATTATTCATATTGAACTTTTAAAATGGCTTTCAACTTGTGACCTGACATGATGTTGTATAGTCATCAATCTGTGGCCTGACATAATGTTGTATAGTCATCAATCTATGACCTGATATAATGTTGCATAGTTATCTATCTGTCACCTGACATAATGTTGTATAATCACCTATCTGTGACCTGACATAATGTTGTGTAGTCACCTATCTGTGACCTGACATAATGTTATATATAGTCACCTATCTGTGACCTGACATAACTCTTTTACTAACAATTTGCAGACTAACTGACATAAATGCTGTACTCACTTATCTGTAACCTGACATACATGTGCAGCGTCAGGATCTAACTTGTCTGGGTTATTTGGTTGAAGTTCTGTTTCTGCTGTTACCACATACCATGACATTACCATGGTGATTATAGTGATTATCACAGGTGTGGATTTCATGTTGACCTACTTCTGCTGTTGCTATAAATAGACAAGAATGACCTAGTTTTAGAACATGTGTGCACTTGTGAAAATTATTAACTCAATATATGTGCATAAAAAAGGTAAAATATTCACAATAAATGCAATTAACTCTTTATAGTAAAACATGAGCCATACTGGAAATTTTCTATGTTTACAAAGGGAAATAATCAAGTCAAACCTGAAACTAGAGTTATGGGTCTTGGAGGGTTAAATACAATTACAATTAAGAACATGTGTGTATTACATGGTTGTCAAGATTAAGTTCACATATTTTTTTGTAAGTTTACGAATACTTATGCTTTTAACTTGATGTACGAGTTATGGGACTTACACAATAACAATAACAAGAGCTGTCGGTAGGACAGCAACGCTCGACTATTCTTAGTGCTTGATAGTAAAAAGAAAATGCTTGATACAATAACCTCCTCCTGTTTACAGGTTGGGGTAATGATGGTGAACAAGTGTGCAAAGTTTCAAAGCCATATGTCAATGGACTTTGAAAATATTTGAACTATTACAAAAACTTTAACGTAAATTCCAAGTCGAAAATGGGACATAATTCTGTCAAAATGATTGATACAGTTACCTCCTCCTGTTTACAGGTTGGGGTCATGATGGTGAACAAGTGTGCAAAGTTTCAAAGCCATATGTCAATGAACTTTGAAAATATTTGAACTATTACAAAAACTTTAACGTAAATTCTAAGTCGAAAAAGGGGCATAATTCTGTCAAAATGCTTGATACAGTTACCTCCTCCTGTCTACAGGTTGGGGTCATGATGGTGAACAAGTGTGCAAAGTTTCAAAGCCATATGTCAATGGACTTTGAAAATATTTGAACTATTACAAAAACTTTAACGTAAATTCTAAGTCGAAAAAGGGGCATAATTCTGTCAAAATGCTTGATACAGTTACCTCCTCCTGTCTACAGGTTGGGGTCATGATGGTGAACAAGTGTGCCAAGTTTCAAAGCCATATGTCAATGGACTTTGAAAATATTTGAACTATTACAAAAACTTTAACATAAGTGGTTACGCCGACGCGGACACCAACGCCGACGCCGACGCTCGGGTGACTACAATAGCTCTACTTATTCTTATCGAATAGTCGAGCTAAAAATTATATGACAGTCAGACTATCAATTTATTATAATGATCCCAAAGACAAATAATTAGATGAAAGTATATTGTCTCTTTTTTGTACAATGAGAATAGTTGAAAGTTTTTTTAAATGAGATTTAAGATGAGACTGCACATAAAAATTAAAGCAGAATGTTTTCAGAATCATGATTATTTTCATGAAAGTTTTGAAAATGTATTAAAAAAGTAAAAGTATTTTCACCTGATCGATAAATTTTTTACACATTGCATAAACATAAATTACCAAATAAAGATCAAAATATGCAAAATATCCCTGCTTTAGTCACGCAGTAAAAATTTTATGATCTATACTGTAAAATTGGACATTTATTACATAAAACATGTAAATCATTACTTGCACTGTAAATATTTTTAATTTTCACTTCATAGTATATTTTTCTAAAGGTTGATTATCTTGAAAAATGTTGGCTTATATTTTGAGGCATGCAGCTTTAAACCAATGAAAAATATTTCCAACACTAATGATGGTATGAGAAATTGGATCGATAGCCCAACTATTGTTCCAATAGCCGAGCTTAAAAATGATATCTCAAATGTGGGTCAACTGGCAAAAGTTCATATCATACAGGCCACAGTAAATAAAGTACAATACGTCATATTATTTCACAATACTGTATCCTATAAACAGAACTTTACCTATATTTTTCATAAACCCCAGTATGAAAAGTGCTAATTTCAAAAAATGATACCCTGTACAGAATTAAAGCAATATAGCTTCCACAAAATAAATATAATTAAATGGTCGGAAAAAGAATATTTCCACAATGCAGTCATGACTATAAAAGAAATATGTTTGTATTTACGAATAGCGAATGCATATTTTCATTGCCACAATGTTAACAGTTTTAATTGTATTCTTTCTTTTCTCATGATCCCATCATAAGATTAGATCTATTTTACAAATTTGTAAAGTAACTGCATAATGTAAGTGCAATAGATATATATATCTAAAAGCTTATTATTATTCAGTTTTTTTTCTTCCTTGCATTAGAATATTTTCAAAAAGAATTTATTTATCAAATTGGTTTGATCATATTATGCAAATTTCACGACTGCCGATCAAAGAGGGAAGTCGTTTCACTTGTGAACAAAGATATATTAAAATCAACACAAAAACTCAAGCCAATAAAACCTCAAATATTAGACATTAGCCAATCATTTAAGAGTCAGCCAAATTAGACTATATATTGTATTTTAGAACCAAAACAAAACAAAAACCATCCACAAAAAAAAAATATAGTACAAGATTGTCCCCATGCTCAAATTAAAAGTAAAAATTCTATTTTTTTTCTTTTTCTTAGTTTTACATCGCACAAACACAGTATAAGTCATATGGCATCTTTCCAGCTTTACTGGTGGAGGAAGACCTCAGGTGCCCCTCTGTGCCTTTTTGAAACCAAAGGGGCCCCCCCCCGATCCCCCAAAATTTCCCTAAAAAAACGGGATAGTTTTTTCTAAAAGAAAATTGGAAAGGCTGTCAATTTAAACATAAAAGGCTTTTGAAAACCAAGGGGGTTTTAATTTCAATTCCCTTTACCCACTCGGTCAATGACCCCCCCCCTTGCTATCAAAAACCCTTCCTGGTTTATTTAAAAGAAAAAAAAAACATTTTTACCCCCAAAACCAAAATTTAAAACCAAAATTTTTAACCACTAATCCCCCTGGATTTTAAAAAAATTTAAAATTAAAACAAAAATTTTTCCCCTGTGAAATCAGTCCCTTTTTAAATTTTACAAAAATTTTGTACCCTTTTAATTTAGGGGTTCACAGAAATTTGTTAAAACGGTTTCTAAAAGTTTTTAAAGCATTTTTTTTCCAGTTTAAAATAAAATATTTATTAAACCCCTAATGCAAAAAAGGACACCGGGAATTTTTCCTCCCCATAAGGGGGGAACCCTAAAATTTTCAAATCCCAAAAAAACCATTAAAAATCTTTTTTTTTTCATTTTTGGGACATTGAACAGAAAAAGAGGCCCATTATGAAATTTTCTTTTTTAAATTTATTGCCCTCCTTCAACGAAACAGCAAAACATTTTTGAAAATTTTAAAATGAAATAAATTGCTTTTTTGCACAAAATTTTTTAAAGTCCCAAATCAGTTTTCCCACATCAAAAAAACACCCCCTTTTATCCTCAAAAATTTTTTGGCAGGGTTTTCCAAAAATTTCAAAAAATTTACAAAATTTTTAAATTAAAGTCTAAAAAATTTTTAAATTTGAAAAATAAAAACATAAAAACCCACAATTTTCCCCTTGGAAAAAAATTTTCAAGGGGGCAATAATTTAAAATTTTTTTTGGAATTTTAAAGTAGGGGGAGAAAACCCTAATAGAAAAAAAATTGTTAACAAATAAAAGTTTTTGAAAACCTTTAAAATTGCAAAACCCCCTTTAAAATTAACCCTTGCATTTAAATTTTGAAAAGTTTCCTAAAAAATATGTTTTAAAAATTTAAGTCCCCAAATTCAAAAGTTTTTTTTGGGAAAAAAGGTCCTTTTAAAAGCAAAAAGAATCCTTTTTAAAATTTTTGAAAAATTTTTTGGGGTTAAAATTCTTTAAAAACAAAAAAAAATTTCACCAATTAAAAAAAAAGGCCTGAAAAAAAAACCAAAAAAAATTTAAATTTTTTTTTTCCTTTTTTTTCCCAAACAACCAAATTAATTCTTTAAACCTTTGCATTCAACCAACTTTTTAAAATTTTGATCTAGATAAAACATTAACCCAATTTAGTGAATAAAATGAGGTTGTCTTTATCTAAAAAGCTCATTAATTTTAAATAGGCTACTTAGCTCTTTTTAAAAATTCATAAACGGCATAAAAAAAACCAAAATGGGGGGTTTTTACAAAATTGCTTTTAAATGTCAAATCAAGACATAATCATAGTCTGTCAAAGTTTGACATCTCTATGTCTAATGTATCAATAAATATATATATATACAATACAAATGGAGCGTTTTTTTTTGCCTGGGAGCATAACTGTACTTAAAACATTTTAAGATCAGTAATAAATCATGAAATTATTTAAACCTCCAAGCCACAAAGGTAAACATATTTTGTGGTGTAAATGTTTTGTTTTTTTTTAAATTTGATAAAACTTGTTAAAAAAATCTATTTTGGCATGTTTAACTCAGGCAAAATTTACAATACATGTAGATTTGAAAGTTGAAAGCCTAGACTATAATATATATATATTATATGGATACATATGAGAACCTTCATTCAAATGTACTAAGAATATTTTAGTAGAACAAACAAGTCAAAGTCAAAACACTGGACTACTCTGGCGTAAGACACTTTATTTATCTCCCAGTTTCAGTGACTTTTTCAGGATGATACTTTTTCAGTATCAAAATTCAGACCTATACATATCAAATGACTTAGTCAGAATGTTACTACATGTATGTAACCTTATATGACATAGGTACAGGAAAATGTTACTATTTTGTGAGCCTTTGGCAAGCTGAGTGTATGTTGATCTTAATAAACATTTTTTCCCTGGAAGAAATTTATATAAAAAAAAAATTTCAAATGACAGGTCCTTTTTATCCCAAAAACTAAATTCAACCAAAAAACTTCCAAATTAATTTCATAAACCCCGATAGCCTTAAAATAAAACCCTATTTAAAACATTGGGGAATTTTAAACAGTTTACCGGGAGACCCTAACCAGAAAGGGACATTTGGGCGCCTGATCACCCTGGGCATAATCAGTTGATACCGGGCCAAAAAAACCCGAGGGGCATTGGCAATTAAAAAAAAAAATGGGCATTAAACCCGTTGAAACCGGGGAGACCCAAAAACCAAATCAAATTTTGGCTCAAATGAAACACATTGGGGACAATT